TAATTCTTCCAATTTACAAATCAGATCTGCTTAGCATTCTTTAATGACATCCACATTCATTAGCAGTGGCTTCCAAATTGTTTTGATTATGCATCCCTATCAAAAGAAAATGAGATGTACTCCCAAAATAGGTATATTTTAATTACTGCATACAACTTTAAAAAATTACACATTGAGGATGATAGAATTGGAAATACATAAATAGACACTTTCATATTTTCTTCCCATACCCCACTGGATTTGCACACAGAACCCTCGGGGGCAGAGTGGAAACAATCTGTAAGATGAAATCAGACTCTTCAGGGTATGAACGAAGTCTTAGGAACCTGGCCTCTGCCCTCTTGATCGTTAGTGATGTTGTTCACAGTGCATTCTGCATTTCTACTTGTTGGTTGCCCTTTCTCTCCTTCTTTGCACCTGTCTTTGCCCCTCTCACTTCCTTTGACTCTCATTGTTTGCCAAATACCTGCCCATTTTTTAAGATCTTGAATCAATTGCAGCTAGTTACTTCCCTAATAACGCCCATGACAGTCTGTATGATCTGTGAGTTCTGTGTGGCCCTTGTGATGAATTACTGAGCCCAGCAGAAAAGTGGACAATGCTGTCAGAAGAGGGGCTGGTGAAAGAAATGGTACATCCACCCCTCGCCTCAGGAATCAACCTGGTGTAGATGTTGAAGCTGATTCTCCTCCCCCATTCTGAAGTTAGAGGAGTTCTACCACTGTCACGTCCTCCCCCCGCCCCAACAGTTTTTTTTTTAAAAGGAACTCACAGAACATACAATTCAATAGTTCAATCACATCAAGAAGAGTTGTACAATCCTTACCACAATCCCTTGTAGAACATTTTGTTCATTCTTGTACTCATCATTATTAACTCCCCATTTCTCTCCAGTCTCCCCTGCGATGGCCCCAAGGAACCATTAATCCAGTCACTATCTCTAGATTTTTTACCTATCCTGGATTTCATGAACAGAAATACATTAAAAAACAAATAAAACTACAAGAATGGCAGTAAAATACAAGCCTCAATCAGAAAGAAAGCAGATAATATTAAAAAGCAGAACAAATTTAAATGGATAAGGGAGATTAAAAAATAGGATGCTAAATTTTAGCCTAACTGCACCTGCAACAATCTACTCTCCAATGCACTCTGCAAGTTATCAAGGTTAATCATCCCCTGGTTCTTGGTGAGAGGGGATTCTCCAGGGGCTTCATTCACATGCATTTGCACTTCATCTTTTTTTTTTTTAATGAAACAGCTTTAAAATGGGTGATCAGGGAGATCAAATGTTACATCTGCCATAATTGACTTTACAATGCTATTTGATAAAATGATCATTCACATCCCTCAACTATGATTAGAGGGTATTCACTAGAGGCCTGATTCGTGTGTGGGCCCTACAAATGGATTGTGCTAACCAGATATTCACAGTTAAAGCTCTGATACCATTACCTCCTTTAGATTTGGATTATACTATTTTTAATCCTTGGATCACATATGCTGCTGTGCTTCTTTCATGTGGACTTAGCCTCATTTAGATGGCTACAAATCTTTAGGACCCCCACCCCCGACACTATTCTTTCTGATAGCTGGGCACTATCTCGTCTCTTCACCACATTTTGCGGTAGCACCCATCCCTTCAGTGAGCTCTACATGAGACTGAGCATCACGCAGGGCCATGTCCCGAGAACTAAATGCTCTTAGCCTGGAGCTAGAATTAAGTGCAAGCCCAAAGTCCATTCATGCGTCTATGGCTGATATATGTCCTGACTCCCTGTAGAGGCGTCACTGACATTTTATGTTAGAGGACACTACTAACCGTCCTCCTTGGGGACATCACTTCCCCTGCCCTCAGTCAGTGCTGACTCACAGTGACACTGTAGGGCAGGGTAGAACTGCCCCTGTGAGTCTCTGAGCTTGAACATCTTCTAGGAGTCGAAAGCTTCATCCTTCCGCTGTATCACACCCTTCTTAAACAATCTTTTATATGTAGGTATGTGCTGCAAGGCCAGAGGTTCAAAACCCCCAGCTGCTCTATGCCAACAAAACAAGGCATTTTGTTCCCATAAAGATCTAGTCCCAATAATTACATGAATAACAGTGAGTTGAAGAAGAAAATGTTCTAGAGTTAAATATGGTAACAACTGTACAACACTTCTTGATGATTGAATTAGTGAATTGTATGACATGTGGATGAAGTGCTAATAAAACTGTTAAAAACAATAACAACTAGTCTCAGAAACCCACAGGGGTAGTTCTACTCTGATCTATAGGGTTACTGAATTGGAACTGATTCAATGAACATGTACCTAGGAGCCCTGGTGGTGTAGTGGTTTACTCATTGGGATGCTACTGTACATTCAGCCATTGAAACCCGCCAGCTGCTCCTCAGAAGGAAGATGAGGCACGTTCAGCAGTTTGAAACCACCAGCAGCAACGAGGGGGAAAGACTGGGCTTTCTACTCCCATAAACAGTTACAGTGTCAGACACCCACACGAGGTCGCCGTGAGTCAGCATTGACCCCATGGTAGTGCGTGTGAGTTGAAGAGATGTGTAGCAGTGTCTCCCTGGGGGCACGGGAGCACTCCAGGAGGGCTGCAAAAGGAGACCTACACTTCATCCTGGATTACGGGTTATCGTACTAAAGTTTGTAATTGCCAGAGGATGGCTGAGTAATTTTTTTTCCCTGAAAAGTTTGAGAACCTATAATTTACAGCCTTGGTAACCCATAGGGCTGTCCCACTCTGCCTATAGTGTTGTTATAAGTCACAAGGCAGCAAGTTTGCGTTTGAGTCTATATGTCGAGTAATGTCCATTATATATATTCTGTGCAATAGGACATTGTGTGATTTGCTGTTGGGCTCACATCATATAAAGACCCATGGGGGTTGTCACTGCTGCTGCTGCTAGAGGAACAGTGAGGCAGGAGCTGCGTTGGCCCAGATCCACCTGCTCTGAGCAGCAGGAGCAACCAGGCCCTGAAGCTGCTACCGCCCACCTGTCTGATGAAAAAGCCTGAGAGCCCACGCCAGAGCCACGTCCTTTGCCTCACCAGCCATGGTCCAGTGCTGCAAGCATCTAGGTTTGGGGGGTCTTTAAAACTATTAGGGGTACATAATACACGAAAGAACAGCTGCTTTTGTTTTAAAAAAAGCAGCACCAACAGAAAAACACTATGAGACTCTGGATGTGTATTTGGCTGGATGTACATGTGAGCAGGCGTTGGCCGAACATTATCTGTATTTATTTCCTATTCGATGACATAGTAAAATGAAATACATATAAACTATACATGAATTTCATGAAGTCAATTGACCTCACAGATTATATACAATTAAAAAAAATAACTATAGCACTCCCCTGCCTGAACTCTGAATAATCACATTTATTAAAGGTGTGAAAGGTACCGTTGTAAAAGATGCTTTTTCCCACGGGTTCCATGAATTCCATTCCAAGGACTCTCTCAAATAGTAACTTATCTTTTATGAAGTAATCCATTTCCTTATGAACCTAATAGAAAAATAATTTCAAAACCAGCAGTGAAAAAAACATTCTTATTAGTACAAAATCAGAAGAAAAAAGTTAAACATGAATAATACTCAGAGAAAATCTGTTCTTCAAGAAGACTGAACTTATATTGAACTTAATAACAAAACTTTCCTTAGTAAAGTTCAGATTTTTAAACCCCTATTAGTACTCAGGGCTATAGATATACTGAAAATTACTTTACAATAAGCTATCTAGTAATTCAACCGTAACATAACATGAAAGATTTGAATAATGAACTCTTATATTTTGCTAAATATCTAATAATTTGCCTATACAGACAAATTTGAAGGGAATCATCATAATAGTGTTAATAGACAAATAAAACTTCATCTCATTCTTATACAATTTAACTATCTCTGACCCATACTAGGTAAATGAGTTCACTGTGTAGATAGTATCTTTACATTTATAAATACATTACTTATAAATAATTTATCCTTAAATATATAAAGATTGGCTTATTTATATTGTTTAGAAACAGTACTTAAAATTTTACTCCTAAGAATTAAATTTGAAATGAAGAAAGGGGGATTTTAAAGTCCACTCTCTTACTGACTAAGAAAATAATAAACACACTGACTTTTCAAAAATCACATTTTGAGCTGTTTCAAATGTTGAGATACTTACATGATCAATGAAGGAGCCAAGAAATTTATTCATTGCATGATACGCCTTTATACTCTGTTCAAAAGTACTTCCTGATGAGCTCAATAGTCTAGCAGGGCCATTTTTCTAATGTGAAAAAGAAAAAATAATAAATTAAACAGGTATGTTCTTGGAATTTAAACAACATGAAATGTTGGCAAAGTGTAGTTGAGCCGCATTTCATACAAACCCTGGTTAGTGATTCATGAATTCTGTCATAGTGTTGTCTCATTTGGCTAGAAATTGCAATCTGAAAGGTCTGACCATCTGTGTTGGGTACCAAACCTCTCTGGCTACACAGATTTTCCTGAAAAATTAAAGAATTAAATTAAAAGCAAGTTTGTGAAAATGCTGCCTATCTTAAGACAAAGTAAATGTAGCATTTTTCTTTAGTTGTATTATACATTATAGGGTTCTGAAGCTAACTGAAATTCTACTGAATTATATTTGAGAAAGATTTTAGTATTTCCCAAGGTTCCCTTTATCAAGTTTTAATAATTTCTACTGTGTTCTAAGTCTTACTTCCCTCCAGGTTTGTATAACATTCCTTTTACTCTTTTTTTTTTTCCCCCTTTTACTCTTTTAAAGAATCTCAAGCTCAGTTCATTTTATGGGGATTCTTAGCTTTCTTTTGATTAACTTTATTATTCTTTAATGCATGCTGAAAAATCTAAGAATTAACTACTTTAAGTTTATAAATGGTCTTTTTTGTTTCTTTCTAAAAATGTTTAAGGATCCTTGATGGTGTAGTGGTTCTGCATTGGGCTGCTAGCTGCAAGATAGCAGTTCAAAACCATCAGCCATTCCAAGGGAGAAGGATGAGGCTTTCTACCCACCTAAAAAATTACAGGGTGAAACCCAGAGAGGCGGTTCTAGTCTGCCCTGTGGGGTTGCTATGAGTTGGAATTGACTCCTTGGCAAATAAGTCTGGAGTTTTTTTGAATTGTTTTAAATGTTCCTCCAATTAATTTGAATAAGAACAATGATACGTAACTCAATTAATTAAAGATATAACTGCCAAGAACTGAATCCAGACAACCACAAATATATAACCATTTGTCCTATCTACCGTCTATCCAATTCCCATTATGCTTCAAGGCTTAGCTCAAGTTCCTTACCTCTGGTGAGCCTATACATTAATCTTAGAGATTAATGGTCTTGGTCTAAATCTAATCTGAAAACACACAAAGAATTTCTTTTTCTATAGATTTAGAGGGAGCCTATATACACTGAATTTCTCTATTTTAAAAATTCCATATTAAAAAAGGAAATGCCAGTCAGTGAATTTCTAAAACATGGATACGTACAAAAAAGAAAAACAAAATAATCTCAACACCAAGAGATATTTCAAGGTATTTCATTTACAGTCCTTTCCCTAAGTATATATGAGGATAAGTAAAAAAATATTGCTACTAGAGTTTCAGTTCATAAACATGCATGGGTTTATTCCAAACAAAACATGTTTAGACATCTCTGAGGTCAGCATATAGTTGCAGACAAGTTCTCCCTAGTTAATATGCTTGTCTCAATAGAGTGTCTTCAAAAAGCATACTAGAGGCCATTTGCCATGAAAAAAAAAATGCTATTTGGAGGTCAAGGCTAATATCAAATTTTTAACAAAACTCAAGTGGACATCTTGCAACAATTTGCAATGATTCTGTGGGAATGCTATCCCACGTGCAACAAGTTTTGAGATGAATTAAGCCTTTTAAGGAAAACTTCAAAGATGAGCCAGAAGAAGACCATCAACCTCAACAAATGAAGAAACTGTGACTGAAGTTCAGAACTGGTGGAAGAACACAGAATTACCAAGAATGTGATTGTTCTGGAACTCAGCTCTCACATGGCTCGGCACTTCCGATTTTAAGCAAACATCGGTCTCAGAAAGCTTCGGTTCCACAGGTGCCAAAAGGGTGACGTGAAGATCAGCTCGCTCAAGGAGCTGATGTTGCTGGCAGTTTCTTATGCAAGACTGAAGCGAATGTGGATGATTTTATGAAACAAATTGCAGCCAGGCATAATGAGTTTTGGCTTTACCAATAGGATCCAGAGAGCAAGAAACAATGGCTTCCCAGGGATCTACTGGGCCAGTTAAATTCAAGACAGGTCAGCTCAGAAAGTTATGATGACTGGTTTCTGTTTTTTGTTTTTTTGGGTGGGGGTTGGTAGATTTTTCTCAAAAGACACAGGCCAATCACAGGGGCTTACTGTGAAGAAGTGTTAAGAAAACGGCCAACTGCACTAGTTAAGAAAAGAGAGAACAAGCAGGACATCTCCACCTCGGGATCTTCCCTCATCACCACAAGTATCTGCTCACTCTTCCAGGCCAGAGGGCCGGGCTGCCTTATAAGAATTTTGTGGGGCAACCTTACTCCACTCACTCTACAGCCCGAAACTTGCCTCTTCTCACTTCTCTTTGTTCCCATTACCCAAAAGAACAAGATGCGAGTCCCTGGAGGATGCCAACATTTTGATGTGGTTCGTATAAATCTAAGAGCACAGAATTGTTTCAGAAGGGTTAGAGGGATGGAAAGGCCACATTGAGATGTGTATAGATCTACATGGAAGATATGTTGAGAAATAGCTTCACAGCTTAATATTTTTGTTTGATAAAGGGTTCTCTAATTTTTTCACAATACTTTTGGACTTAATCTCATATGTATATCAAACCAAACCCAATGTTCTCAAGTTGATTCCAACTCATAGGAACTCTCAGGACAGAATAAAATTGCTCCTTAGGGTTTCTGAGACTCTAGATCTTTATAGGTGCAGACAACCACGTCTTTTTCCCAGAGAGAGCCTAGTGGGTTTGAACTGCCAACTCTATGGAGGGCACCCCAAATCTTAACCAACTGTGACACCAGGGCTTCTGCATGTACATAGAGGTAGAATAAAATTGTAATCAAACTGACTTGTTTTTATTTAAAACTATATTTTGAGCAATTCTCTTGTTATAATATATTCTATAAAACATAGTTTTTAATATGCAGCTAAGATTTCTGCATTAAAAATCAATTTATTTTATATTCTATCTTTATGTACTTTTTGTCATCATAAATAACTCTGTCAAGAACTTAAGCCTTATGGCAACAAATGTGCAAATGTGCTGGACACAATGGATGGATGTATGGATTGTGAGAAGTGTTGTGCGAGCCCCCGATAAAATGATTTTTGAAAAAAAGAACTTAAGCCTTAATTAGCTGTTCACATTACTAATTACTTCGTTGAGCTATATTCAGAGGATTACTAAGTCAAAAAGCTCTCCTATATACTGCCAAATACTTTCCTTTTACACATCTATTGCTTTATGGTCCCTGTGTCGTTGCTCATGCATTTAAAAATATTTTGTTATCGCTCATTGAGGTTTGAATCTATTTTAAATGTAATGTCTCATTGACTTATGAGTTTTAATTTTGTTAGATCTTTGCCGCATTTGTTATAAACAGCTCACCTTATTTTGCTATGTCCTAATTATATGATTTGTTGGATACGCAAATGTTCCATGCAAATAAAGTGAGATAAATATTTTCTTTTTGATGGTTTCTATTCTTTGTGCTTAAAATAATATCCCACAATTTGAGATACTACGTTCTTTCTACATTTTCACGGCTTCATCTTTTACAGTTAGCCTGCTAATCCAGGGTAGTGTGTAACAGTCAATCAACTGATCCAGTTCAATGTACTACATCAATAGTTCTTTTCTGAGGTGCCATTATTAACTATTAAATTCATAAAAGTCATAGATACAGCTTTTTCTTCTTTTTAAATCATTTTATTGGGAGCTCTTATAGCTCTTATAGCTCTTATACATCCACTGTTGTCAAGCACATTTGTACATATGTTGCCAACAAACTTTTCAAAACATTTTCTTTCTACTTGAGCCCTTGAAGATACAGCTTCTTAAATCCTCTTGGTTTTCCCTCTTAAGTGCATATCTTTCCTTACAAATGTTAACATAGAAAAGTTCAAATAACAGTTTATATGAATTTTCAAATATGTACAAAAGAATGTTAAACCACCCATCCTCAACTTTAACAATTGCTAACATTTTATCAATTTTATCTCATCTATCCTCCCAACCCCTTGGCATATTTTGAAGCAAATTCTTTACCCCTAGATATTATGTTAAAAGTATCAAGTCCTAAATTAAATAAAGAGAGCCCATTTCTCAAAATAAAGACAAATAATTGAAAATCCATTCATACCGCTTCTCTTTTAAGATTCATATTCATTTCTTCCATATTAGTATCTGCATGCCCATGTACTGATCTACCATGGATATAGTAACCAAAACATTTGTGGGATAGAACAAATACTGATATCTATGAAGAGAAGAGAAGGAATTAGCAAACCAGCTGTAAAAAAATTTTTAAAAGAGTTTTTCCCCCTTTAACTTAAAAAATAAGGATTGAATTCTTGGGGAAAAAATATAGAATATAATAGAGTAATAAGGGAGATTAAAAAACAAAACTAAACAAAAAAGAAGCTGATAAACCAGGGTAAGAAAATAGTTCCTAAAAAAAAAGGAAGAAATGGAGTTAATAAAAACAACATTTCCAAAAGCTCTTAACTTTATTCTTTGGGGCATAAGGAATTCAAAATTAAAAACGTGCAAATATAGAAGAAAAAACTAAGGCAATTAAGTATTAACTTGCAGCTGATTATAACTATCTCTGGAATTAACTGCAAGTGGAAAATTAAACTAAAAATCCAATCATACCAAATCACTTTTAAAGCTCCTCTTAATGTACTCATGACCTTTAGAAGGGGGAAAACAGCATTTCCAAGATAAAGTCAGGAAGTACTTACATTGCTCATACAGCATAAATCAACGAATTGCCGAATTTTATCTTCTATGAATCTCTCATAAAAACCCGCAAAGAACATGATCTGAAACATTAAGCCAAGTTCATGCTTATTAGCTTTTTGGATTTTAATTTTCTTTTGCAGCCACATTGCAGTCTCTTTTAAAAAGAAAAGAAAAGGGGGGGGGGCCCTCTAGTCAGATAAAATCCTGCATGTTATTTCTGAATTTTCTGTTAAAGGAAGAGAGATTTTAAAATTGTATTACAAGTCATCAAGGGAGTCTATTTTGAATTTTTAAAAAATTTCCATATCATTAAAACAGAATAGGAGAAAAATAGGGGAAGAAAAGAAACAGCTTTTAAAAATGTAAGCCGAACCAATGTATTGAGTCCAATGTATGTCTAGTTCCGCAATTTTATCTCAAAACATTAGAAGAGTTTCTGTTTTTCAAATTAGTCTGTGACAAAGTCGCACATCAAAAGCATACATATTCCCACTCCTTATTTAGCAGCACGTTTAGGTTCCAAAGACCAGGTCCTATTTTTACACAGAAACTGGTGCTACCTGAAGATATGAAAATGAATGGAAACTACACCATTGCATAACTGCCAGATTACACCCACCCCTAACTGTTGAAGCACCGAGGCAGCACAACGACAGAACCTTACCCCTACTGTCACTGCGACTCTTGCCTTGCACCTCGGCATTGAATGCTCAGATGCACAATATTGGAGAGTAGCTTTTCACCACTGTCATGAATGCAAAAGATCAGGTAACAAGACATAGGTAAGTTAGCAGGAAGGTGTATTTCTATTTCTACAGACAGTGTGTTAAATATTCAAAAAGAATGGCTTCACAAGTTGTCTTAGATATACAGTATCACCAGAGAATTTTTGCTAAGAAAAAGTTTACATCACAGACCTCCCCTGCGCTTCCAAGAAAGACGCCCCTAACCACCTATTTCCAGCTGTCCCTGCTGTTGCTGGTGCCTTATTCCTCACCCAGCCTCCACTCCCCTCACTCCAGTTAGTCTCCACCGACTTCAGCTCCCGGGATGAGTCCCTTCAAAGCACTGTCAGTCTTTAACTTGCTCATGCTTAGTATGTGTGTGAACATGAGCTCAGCACAGTACCTGGGACATAAAATGTTCTTGAATATGTAAATGAAGAAATAAATAAATCTCTTAACAGCCTATCACTGGAAAATGTTCTAAAACACTCTATAGTCTTCTATATACCCCACCTAAAGGGCCAAGAGAAAAGCAAACAATACAAGAAAGCACAGCAGCTGAAAAATAACAAAAGAAAATAAACAGATGGTCAAGAAGATGAGGAGAAATTAGTCTTCATCCATTGCTGATGGATGTGCAAAATGGTACAGCTACTCTGGAAAAGTTTAGCGGTTCCGCAAAAAGTTAAACCCAGAACTTTCCTATGACCCAGCAATCCCAATCACAGGTTTATACCCGAAGTAATTAAAGCAGAAATGCAAACAGAAACTGCACAAACGTGTTCACTGCAGCACTGTTCACAATAGTCGAGAAGTGGAAAACAACCCAGTGTCCATCAACAGATAATCGGCGTGTCTAATAGACATGACACATGCTGTAACACGGATGAACCATGAAAACACTAAAGTGAAGTAAGGCACAAAAGGGCAAATACTGTATGATGTCATTTGTAAGAAACAAGCAAACAGAGAGAGACCAATGCTTGTTAGTGCTTGCCAGGACAGGAGGAAGGTGGGAAGCTGTATCGCTGCAGGGAGGCACTGAGTTTCTGTTCATGGTGGTAGAATAACTGAGGAAAAAATACTGCTGATGGTTAAGCAACACGATGAACGTCATGATGTCAATGAACTCTACATGCAGCACATGTATGCACAAACACACTACATATATATTTGTAGTGATGATGGCACAACTCTTTAATATGTTGAAAATACTTGTATGATATGCAAATTATGTCACTAAAACAAAATTTAAAAAGAGATAGTAACCTCATATTCTGTTATTTTTGTTTAATAAAGGTTTGTATGATTTTTTTAAATAATACATAGTTTTAGTCAGGCTCAGGGAAATTAGAGCCTGATGTCTATATAAGTCAATTCATTTGCCTATTTCAAAAGTTAAATAAAATAAAATAAAATAAAAAGAAATTAAAATCAAACAGAATGGCATGTTTCTGTCTTTTTGACTTTATGCTTTAAAAAGATTAAGCAATCACATATATTTATATGAGGATGTGGAAATAGACCTATGTGCATAAGTTCAGTATTAAGGTAGCAGATGGACATTGGGCCTCCACTCAAGTACTCCCTCAATGCAAGAATACTTTGTTCTATTAAACTGGCATTCCATG